TCTCACGATTCATGTTTCATTACTTCTTTTGTTAGTGAAAGACTAGTGTCGAGTACTGTATTCCTTACTATGTATAAACTATAGTGTTGAGTGTTTATTTCTGAACTGTGTGTACTACTCCTGTACTCTGTGTACTCTCCTGTACTACGTGTACTTCTATGCACGTCCCTGCACGTAGTGGTCTTCCCCCTATACTCCCATGTATTCCGCGGTGTACCCTGTTCACGTGCTGGTTTTTCCCTGGTTGGGGTCCTTGGATGCTATATTTTTGGACTTTAACGACATGACAGTCAAGAAGGCCAGGCTTGATCCTGTGTTACCTCACTAAGATCATGAAGAGTTTTACACACACACTCACACACACACACACACACACACACACACACACACACACACACACACACACACACACACACACACACACACACACACACACACACACACACACACACACACACACACACACACACACACACACACACACACACACACACACACACACACACACACTGTGGCTCAGTGGTCAGCGCTGTCGGCTCACAACCGGCACGTCCTAGGTTCGAATCCTGGGCAGGGCAAGACAGCTAGGTGCGTCTCCTTGCACCCGTTGCCTCTGTTCACCTAGCAGTAATTAGGAACTTGGTTGTTAGTCGACTGTTGTGGGTCGCTTTCTGAGGAATGGTCAAATACTGTTCATATTCGAGAGAACTTCGAATTTCCCACAAAACATGTATTAGGTGAGCACACACACACACACACACACACACACACACACACACACACACACACACACACACACACACACACACACACACACACACACACACACACACACACACACGGCTAGTAAGGCCTTACAGCCGTGGAAATGTCTTTAATATTCCCGTCATTCAAATGACCTTGTTCAGTGCGCACCTTAACTTCAGGTAATGACAAAAAAAGGTCCTAATAAACAGGCAACTACAGTAATTGGGACCCTCGAAGGTAAACTAGTTGAGACATCAGAGGAATAAGTCACCAATGAATTTTGTTTCGAGAAAAGGCTTTAGCAAAGTTACATTCTCCCTTTCCACAAATAATGTTGCAAATAGGCTTCTTGAATGACTGGAGATCAAAGAATTTTGGCGAGGAAAATTACGACATGGTCTATCAGCCTCTAGAGGGTTATTAAGGCCTATTAACCCCCTAGATGGTCATTTGACCATCCACCAAGTATTCTTATGTTAATCCTGAATGTAGTCTAGGGGGGACTAAACCAAACTATCAGTGTATATACATTGAGAAGTTATTTCGCCTAATAATTTTCGCAATCTTTTTATTCGCCTAATAGAAAATGAACCTCATCACCGCCTCAAAGGTATGGATAACTTCGGTAAAAAAAATTATTATCTTCATCACTCATCAATCTCGCCTCAACATCCTACTGATCCATTTGACTGGAGGAATTGTCATCCTCGTCAGTATGTCTAATATAAATACGCCAAATATTGGCTAATTTATCAACTACAAGCAGTATACACGAAGATGCAATGGTACTGAAAGTTTTAATAAGAGACAAGAAACATTATATACTGATCTTAAATTTGTATACTGAAATTATATGTTGATCTTAAATTTGTATACTGAAATTATATACTAGTCTTAAAATTTAACATTTGTTTGTGTTATAAGTGATATTTAAGAGTTATATTAATATAAGGTGTAGGCAAACAGTATGCTAAATTAAGAAAACAGTCCACTACGGGCTCACCATAGCCCGTGCTACTTAGAACTTTTTGTTCCAAGGTGCGAATCTTAAACAACAACAAGAAGTAGATAAGTTAATTTATCATACTCTAGTATGTGGCTTTTTACTGTTGAGAGAAAAATCGTTGTGTATTTGTATTTGGTGATTAAGAGAAATATGTCCAGTTGTATGCTCTCTTGAATGATTTAAATAGTCACTAACCATAATAACGAGACTATAAAACAGGTGATTGAGCTACCTCGTATGGGCCAATAGGCCTTTGATCTACAAGTTCCCTTAATTCTTACGTTCTAACGAGCATTATCTCCCCCGTCTTGTGCTTCAGGTCCGTACATGCGTAGTCCTGATGCTGACGGCGATGGTTCTGGCGTCCTGTGTGACGGGCCAGCTTAACTTTTCTCCAGGTTGGGGTAAGCGTGCCGGAGGGGTGGCGGTGGGCGGCGGCGGTGGCGTCTCTGATCCAGCCGCACTTCATTCCGCTTCCCAAGCCGCCCTTGCCGCAGTCTCCCCCAACGCCGCCGGCGACAACTGCGGGACGATCCCTGTGTCCGCCGTCATGCATATCTACAGGCTCATCAGGGTGAGGGGTGGAGTGGTACTTCTGTCCCATTTGTCTCCATTATTACTGTTCAAACTTATCATTTATTACCTTCATTGAAAAAAATCCATTACTGAATCACTTCCTGTTGCTTGAAATATATATATTCATATTCATTCTTTTTATATTTGTAGTTTTGATATTTGTCATTTTCATGTTCATTTCTATATTTGTAATTTTTTTATATTCATCATGTTTTCATTTTCATAGTCGTTTTTTTCTTATTCATTTTCATATTCGTCATTATATCAGGAACCTTTACCACCAATCCCCGGCTTCGGACCTGCGTTAGTTCTCTCACAAAGTTTCGTTTTTTGTCATGTTCTTTGGCGAGTAAAGGCAACACAGTTAAGCTCACGTTACTGCCACTGGCACCGGCTGAACTAATTTAAAAGGTGACCCATGACACCTCTTAGAATTAATATCAAGATTACACGTGATTTGAGTGTTAAATGCAATATTTATTGCCTCTGAAGATTAAACCATTTTTTATCTTCAATAAAGAATTCTCCGGCCAATTTTGACCTTAATAAAAAATCCTTGGTGCATAGCCGGGGCTACACACTGCACGCAGCCCGTCCTCCAAAGGTCACGAAAATGGTCAATTTAAAGTGTCCTCTCCTAACCTATCAGAGGACCCAAAACAGAAAACGGGATAGTACGTCACTTTCGCGAGCCGCTTCGATTTTCTAGTACATTTTTTTTAGCCTTATGTAACGCATACGATCGAAAAGCGACGTTCTTTTGTAGGAGGACAGGTTGCTACACCACCCACGTCCAGTGTCCAGAGGTAGGTGATACCTACACACCTCCCATCGTATCGTTTCCATAACTTTTATCCATGTCACTCTTCGCCATAAACTATGATAAAGTTACCCCTCCATTTATTTTATTTATTTTTTTAACTATAACTCATCTTTTTTTATTCCTTTCCGCTATGGATGACATAACAGTAAAAAATAAGTCTTTTTTATGGAGGTAATTAACCCTTTGTTTCTTAGAGTGCTGTTTATCATGTGTCAAATACTGTCGTCTTTTGTATCAAGCTGTCTTAAGGTTGTTAGCGCTCAGTATTGCTCGCTCAACCTCAAATAAAAGAGTGACCAGTATAGTAGAGTTCGGTACAAGAGGGGCGTCTGTAACATCCTAGCGTTAGGGCTACATTATTCATGTAAATCTGCGAGAAGAACGACGTAACCAGGGCCGCCAGGAAGAGCTTAATGCAGCGTGACGCAGGACCTCTGATGGGCGCGACAATGTCTACGTCACTCACGCCCGTCACTCATGCGCGTCACTCACGTGCGTCACTCATACGCGTCACTCACTCAGTCCTCGCCTGGTGATTTTTCTCTCTTCGGAAGAACAAAAGAGCATCGCGAGCGTAATTTTTGTCTAACTTTCATTATGGACTTCCTTAACTCCGCCTTTAGGTAAATTTACTACACACACGCGGTCAGTCACAGCTAAACTTGAGAGCATATATTATGACAGTATAACATTACTTTAACATCCATAAACCGAAGGTGGTGTCTGCCATGCCCTCCACCATACACAGTGGACAGTTCACCATACCCACACCGTGTCACCGGCTGCCTCCTCCCTACACGACACTACCCTACTGTGATCCTCCTTCATCGCCAGTTCACAGTACCAATACCCTGCTCACTCTTGCAACCTTCATTGTTAATACCCATCCCGTTCCCCAGCCAAATTATCATTCTTCTTATCTCCCGTTCTCCTCACCTGTAAGGGACGGAGAAGACACCAAGTCCCCTTTAGCCTCTAAATTTCCTTACTCCCTGAATCCAAATACCCAAATGATTGGTGAATACCTTAAACAGATGTATAATACCCATTGACTTGTTTCTACACCTTACAGGCGGAGGCGGCGCGACTTGTCCAGTGCCAAGAGGAGGAGTATATGGGATAATAGCCTCTACTAGCACCAATCCCCAATCTTAGCTACCCACTGTGATTGTCGTAATGTTTAACGGGTGAATCTCGGCCTCTCTCCGTTACGCTCAGAGATGCTCGCTGTCTTCTGGGTCATCTCCTCCCGCTCCTCTACCTGCTCCTGGGCCGTGGTGGACTCTGATCTGTGTCGCAGGATATGAAGACGTATATTTTTCTCATCTTTCTGGAACTCGCAGGCTGGAATATCTGGATTAGAAATGTTGCATTTGATTAAAATAGTCCACGCGGCCATATGGTTTCCTTGCCCCCCCCCCCCTACCTAGTCTGTTGTGTGGTGGTGCACGAGGTGGTCTCCTGAGCTAGGCTGGCGCACACACCTCCTCCGACCTATATGATAAGAGGTTTTGTCTAATATATGTATAATGTAGCTCTCTCTCTCTCTCTCTCTCTCTCTCTCTCTCTCTCTCTCTCTCTCTCTCTCTCTCTCTCTCTCTCTCTCTCTCTCTCTCTCTCTCTCTCTCTCTCTCTCTCTCTCTCTCTCTCTCTCTCTCTCTCTCTCTCTCTCTCTCTCTCTCTCTCTCTCTCTCTCTCTCTCTCTCTCTCTCTCTCTCTCTCTCTCTCTCTCTCTCTCTCTCTCTCTCTCTCTCTCTCTTTCTATCCAATGTTGAGGTGTACTTGAGACCTTACGCCATTACATTCGTTCACATCCATCATAGTTCCACAACAACACCACCACCTCGCACACCTCCACCGTTCGCCCTCAAGATGACTCCACCTCAACAGACGAACAGCGTCAGACGCAACAGCTTCCATACAACAGATGGCTCTGAGGCGACCTGGAGAGTCTCCCCTTTTAAACTCGTGGTAGCGTACGCATTGCTTTATAACTATAATGAATACACTCAACTGCATAATTAACGCCAGCGTTTTTTTATCCTTCAAATTCTTGTTCCTCAGGTTCAGTGCTTTGCAAATGTTGACTGCAAGCAACGCATCTTTTGGATATGTTCGTCCAAGTAGCGGCCGACCCCATTGATCAGTAGTAGTAGTAGTACTAGGCATCCATCAGTCTCAGGAGACTATGGAGTTGCACTGTGGTTGTCGGTCTGGAGTGGCCTCACCAGGGCGCAAAGCCAGGGTAGGTTGATTCGGGGAAGAAGCTGTTACCCATGCAGCAGGGTAACATTGATCAGTCAAGCTAAAAATATATATATAAAATTGGTGGCGAAATCTTACATATAATTCAATTTAAACCTTAAAAAAAAAAATATATCAATATTATTAAGAAATAGATTATAAAAAAAACATAAAATGCCTCCGATGAGAAGGGACTGACAGCACACACACCTCACGCACTCAATGTCTGCGTTACATTCGCTGTAACTTTTTAGTAGCGTGTGCATTGACAGTTTCAACAAAATACGTTAAGTGGGCATTCGCATCAGGCCATTTAAAACTGTAAAATAAGCTTTGTAAAGTAAAGGCTGCACACGCATTATGGAATGTCCAGTATATTGTCTAGTATGTGTTCTTTTTATAACACAGGCACCAACCAATGAGAGAGTAGTCCATAACATGCCAATAATTCTAGTCACAACTAAATTTAGTTCGATCTAGGCTCGTGGGAATATTATTTTTGAATGTAAATCTTACTGGAAATTAGCACAGCATCGCAGCCTAGCCATGTATGTACCCTCATGAATTCTAGTCACAGTAATTCTTAGCAAAACTTCGGAAACATCAACTTTAAGTTTCCTTCATACGATCTGACACAGCCTAGCCTGGATAACCACAGAGGTTTACGTATTCTTTGCTTAATAATTAAATGAATTTGGTAAGAGTATGGGATAATGGATCAATGATTATACTAGTTGATTATCTCTGCACCCAGCTGTTAATATTCCTGAAATTGACTTGTTAGGCTGCACCCTTTGGTGATATCACAAAGAGATATGTTCCTGATACACCATATACCAATATACCTTATATACCAATAATTTATAACTGGTATATATGTGTCTGTCACAATATTATTCTCACTTAGGAAACCTAATGTTAACCCTGTGATATCTGTCGCTTACACCCGTGACTGACTACGAGAGAAGGGGTACCGAACCTCTGCCGCTTTGGCTCTCATTCCTTCCGACGAAAGAACATGAATGTGTTATCTGCAGTCTTCTTTAGCTCCAAAGAGCATTCTCATTCATTCTACCTTTTGTTGGTAGCTGCTTTTTATCGAGTTGGAATGTCCGTTTCCTTTTATTTAGTCTACAAGACACGATAGTCCACAATGCACGGCATCTGTAATTACCACATTTGGCACACCAAATGGGTCTTGTCCTATTTGAGGGTTGTTGGTCACTTTCCCGCCACTCAACTGGCACCAAGGCGGGAATCAGATTGTTCGTCTGATATACGTGTGATGATATGTGTTTCCAAGGGAGTCAATTGCCCTGTCATTAGAACGGGTCATCTTAGAAGGTCTGCATTTATATCCCCGTACAAAAATTGTCGCCTGTTGAAATAGTCGGTCACTCCTGAACTCATGAGTGAATTCTAAACAAAACGTGTAAACAGTCGGCCCAGGGCGGTGAGGCGAAGGGTCCTCGGCAACTCTCAGGCCAATTGCAGAGCGCTGCTGCTCAAACCCTTTATTCAATCCAGCACACGGGACTCAAGAGCTCAAAGGCTCTTAATGCTATCCTTGTGCTCTCTTCTAAGTATCTTAATAACATAACAATGCCAGCAGGCGCTGTTTGCGTTAAGGATGCGGCGTGGGTCTCAACTTTAATTAGTCAGAGCACTAAGTGCAATTGTCCGCTGTGAGCAGTAGGTGACGCCCGCCATACGTTGTTGTTGTTGTATTAGATTTAGCTACTCAGAACAAAATGTCCATGTAGCACGGGCTATGGTGAGCCCATAATTGAGTTCGGTTATTCGCGATAACTTTGTTACTGTGATATTTGGGTCAAAGTTTTAAATGGAGGTGGGGATTCCTCCTTTTTCCCTGTTTCTTTTTCGCTTCTGTTTTAGTGCACTGGTTTTTAGTCTTGTTTTAATAACATTATCTTGGTGGCGGATGTGGCCGCCATACAATCCTTGGCAGTCTTATGGACGCGTGACTTCCCGGGTCAGTGATTGGTCACACTGCGTCCCGTGACCTGTGAAGGGTCAGGACGGAGTTAGGCGCAATCTTATTTTACAAAAATAATACATTGAAAAAAAATGTTCTAACCTAATAATAAATATGTTACGTATTTTGTTACATTCTCGCTTGAACTAATATATATACTTTGGCAGTCCCACCTTTTAGTTATGAGAATGATTCTTAAAGAAGATAAAATTATGTAACGTTGCACTGTAACATCCTTCAGTGAATGATGAATGTATGTCACACTCCCAGTGAATGATGAATGTGTTGTACACCTCCAGTGAGTGATGAGGCTACACTGAGTGTTCCCAATGTTGACGTTGTTACCTATCGTTCGTTACGGCTCGTGACCCTACAGCAGCCAAACTTTAATTACGTCTAGGGATACGAGACAACTGCTGTTTTCAATAGCGAATCACCAGTATAACCCCTTGATAAGTAATGAGCACAATAATAAATCTTCCTTAGGACTGAAGAATAGATACAAAATCTTATATAAAGATATATTAAATAAATCTCAATAGCAAACAGATGATTATTTGGTCACAATATATCACATTAAAAATATCACTGTATCTTCCAGACATTAAATTAAAATTATTATATGTATGGCTATGACAGAACAAAAATGTATAACTTAACTCCACAGACGTTAACTCCCTGGTTCCGGATCAGCTACTGAATAACATAACGCGAGAGTCAAAACACATTGCATTGCCCCGCGAATAATTTGCCAAAGTTACAATATTTATTATTTCAACAATGGAGCAATACATTGTGACAAGAGTAATCTTAAACTAACTTAATGAATAATTAATACATATTGATATACAAAAATAAGGTAAGTATTTCTTTACATAGTAATTAAAATATGCATACAGAAAGGAATAATGGCATGCACACCCAGCAACGGACGATCCCACGACAATTTGCCAGATACAGTTCACTCAATTATTATTCACCTCTGTTACCCACATATGATCACATATAAATCATTAGTTCCCGTGGGAAAACTGAGCACACAAAGAAATAAAACAATCATTCCCACGATACGTTGGGCCTAACGCCAACACTGTAACATGAATGTACGTTTGCATAGAACATATAAGTATATCAATATACATGCTTGTAATTTACACACAATTATAAATGTACATATTAATTTATTTCCTTACGTATCTATTTGGGGTACGTAACAGACGTCACTTGACGTAAGCACTGGTAAACTCTGCTAGCCAATCTGTAAACTCGACAACACGCTTATTGTATAAATATTTCCAAATATTACGTAATTTATCAGGCATTTATTGAGTGATATGTTACTAGCAGACTCATCCATCGTGGCCTGCCTGCCTCTCCTCCCTTCCCCTCTACACACCGTGACATAAATCTAAACAGACCATAATTAACAGGGACCAGAGGGGCGGGGGATGAATTGATTACCGTAGAGGGGATGATGAGCAGGTCTCACCGCACCGAACTACAGATATAACCACCAGCGCTGATGTCAAACTATCCAACGACATAGTTTATGTCAACGTGTCACTGAAGAGCGGAAATAATTATTCTTATTTGAAGTACGTGAGGGTGAAATATTTAGAGGTTTCAAACTGTCTAGATGTTTAGATTTAAACATGTGAGCGAGTCACTTGTTGGTGAAGACCTCGAGCATCATCATCTGGTGTAACACAATGTCCTCATCAACAAAAGTCGCCATCTCTTAGCAATTACCTTTCAACCTGTCCTCAGACTAGGCTCGTCCAACCGGTTGTAAACCCCAAAGACATTTTCATTAACTTTAGCGTACTGTCTATTAAACATTTGTGTTTTCTCCAATATAAAGTAATATTATTACATACTAGAATGTGTTGAATTGTTAGACCTAACAAAGGTTAGGTTAAGTGGTTAAGTTCTCTTGGCAATTACAGGTATTTGCAACTCGTCCTTAGGCTGTTTAAAGCAGCGGCCGTTATCCCCAGAAGCATTCATTAATTTTAACATACAGGGTATTAAAAATTGGGTTGTTCTCATATATAAATTAATATTATTATACATACAAATTCTATATATAGTTAGGCAGAGGTTAAGTTAGGTGTTTAGGTTCTGTTGGCGATTATTTGTATTTGCAGTACGCGGGT